GATTTGTCTTATCATGTTGATTGTTTACAAGTCTTTATATATCTAAATTATGCTATTTACAAGTCTTTATATAGTTAACGAGCACTGAAAGGAAAACCTAGTCTTTATACTGAATATACTAGTATTTAAGTTTCTCAAATTGAAATGTCAAGTTTCGCACAAGGCCCTCAAAAGCTCAAACCCGGCCTTGGACATGGCTTCCCGTGGAAATGTGGTTGATGTGTGAAGACGTGGGCCTTCAGCATGTGTATATGCCTTTGGTAGGTTATTGCCTTCAGCATTTAGTAACATTCAACGTAAATAAAGTAAATAAGCATGCAGAAACAAGATATACGTGGTTCACCCGAATGATGGGCTATGTCCACAGAGAAGTATGTTCTCATCATGATAATGCTTGTTTACATTTGTACAAGGGGATTAGACCCAAAGATAAAGGGAAGAAGGCCCAAGGCCTAAGGTACAAAGCCCAAGAGTCTAAGGCCCAAGAATCCAAGACCCAAGACTCAAGACTCAAGACTCAAGACCATTTTTCTAAGTGGAGAGTAGTCTTCTTTTATAGGTAAAGGGGAGTCTCCACCTCTTGTAGTCTTCCAATGTGGGACTCTTAACATTACCCCTAGTTGTGACTTGTGGCAAGACTTCTTTGGCTAAGGTGATAACCTCTCAAAGCATGGCATGTGGCTGATCTTTCTTAGCTAGTTGCTCGGTTAGTCACGATGTTAACACCATGGTTAATCCAACTGTGCTTCCATAGTACGGTCAGCAGGGCACAAGTACTGAAGATCAACTTAGGCTTCTCGAGGATTACATTATGAACGATATCGAGGGTTAATCCAATTTTTCTGGCATAGCATGAGCAAAATTAGTTCCATTTGTGTAAATTAATTCCTCCTTGTTGGAATAATATTTTGTAGAAATTGTTGGCATTTTTTTTATTCATAATCATGATACAATACTATAAGAACTAAGAAGTACGAGTATGTATATGAGTTTAGCTTGCTGAATGCATGCAGGCTTGGTAAAAAATGGTTCCAAATTTTAAATACAAAACGATTTATTGAGGTACTTTCGTGTAATAGCTATTATGGTGAAGAATTCCTAAGTTTTATATACGAACAAAATAATAAAATATTTATTCATATACAGTACTTAAAGACATGGATATAGTGCTTTATTCAAGACACAATGCGTAAGGATGTGTGAAAATATTGTGAAGATAAATATTTGGAGAAATTTTTATATGTTTCGGTGGAGTTGATTATTAGGATACGTTTGTATCGGTGGCAAAAATGAATACGATGCAAGTTCTATTGTCCTTAGGAGCTAATTTAGATTGGCTTCTCAAGCAAATCGATGTGAAGAATGTCTTTCTGTATGGAGATCTAGAAGAAGAAGTGTACATGGACATGCCACCTAGTTATGGGTTGTCTAATAATAGTGGAAGGTGTTAGCCTTTGAAAGGTCCTTTATGGATTGAAGTAGGCTTCAAGAGCATGGTTTGGGCAGTTCACTGAAGCAATGAAGATGTATGGATATCACCAAGGTAACTCGGATCATGCCCTATTTATCAAACATGGGGGTGGTAAGATTACTTTGCTGATAATCTATGTCGATGATATGGTTGTTACTGGTGATAATGATGTTGAAATGGGTAAATTACAGAAGTACTTAGCCTCAGAGTTTTAGATGAAGGACTTGCGGGCTTTGAAGTATTTTGTGGGAATCGAAGTAACTCGCTCTGCTACTAGTATTTGTCTCTCTCAAAGGAAGTATGTTCTAGACCTGTTGACAAAAACTAGTATGTTAGGGTGTGCACAAGCCGAAACCCCTATTATGCATAATCATCACCTTGCAATCTATCATGATCAAGTGCCAACCAACAAGGAGAGATATCAGAAGTTGTGAGAAGACTAATTTATCTTTCACACACTAGACCAGATATCACATATGCAATTAGTGTTGTTAGCCGATTAATGCATTTTCCTCGTAAGGGTCACTTATCTACAGTTATGAGGATTTTGAGTTATTTGAAGAAAGCTTCAAGCTGAGGCTTGATATTCAGAAAACTGGGTTATACAGATGTAGATTAGGTATGCAATATAACATATAGATGTTCTACATCAGGTTACTTCACTTTCATTAGGGGTAATTTGGTCACATGGTAAGGTAAGAATGATCAAAATTGAGTGGCTCGATCTTCAATTGAGGCAGAATATTGGGACACAACACAGGGAGTTTGTGAGCTTCTTTGGCTAAGGATACTCCTATCCAAAATTGGTTTTCCACCAAAGAAATTCATGGAGCTTTACTGTGAAAACCAAGCTGTGAGAGAGATAACAAATAATCCAGTTCAATATGACATAACTAAGCATGTTGAAGTGGATAGGCATTATATCAAGGAGAAGCTGGTAGACAAGCTAATTGATATACCATTTGTAAAGTCAGAAAGAACATTTGGCGGATGTCTTAACACATGCGGTGTAAGCAAAGGTTTTTCATGACTTACTTGACAGGTTGGGCATATGAGATATCTACTCACCAACTTGAGTAGGTATGTTGGCGTGAGTCATAATTTAGATTTCCTGCTGTAATTCACGTTACCTAATTAGAATAGTTACTTAGTTGGGATTCCTTATAATTTGCTAATTACTTTTCCTTGTAGGAAAAGTCAATTTGTACTTGTATATATATCCTCCTCTTAGTGAAATATAATATCAATCACAATTATTCAATTATCATGTGTTTAGTTTGAGTCAATATGTGTAATTTTAAAGGTTTTTAATTACATTATTGTAAAATTGGATACTATATTTCAGTCATTAACCTTATCTAAATTAGGTCAAATTGAATTATCATCTATGACAATAGTAAACTTCGTTCCTATTGATTTTAAATCAAAGCTCCCTATAATTTTATAGTTAACTAAACTCATATGCCTAATGCATCACTAGCGAGGCTAAGTGTTGCAATTTAGTTGAGGTGGTTTAGGCTTAATTACACCAATGCTCCTGAAACTACGGTCAAATCTCACTTTGCTCCACACACCCCCCCTTCCCCCCAATTTGCCCGTTTGACCAAGGTTTGGTGACCCACTTTACCCTATGCCGTCAACTCCATCCAAAACTCTGTTAAATTTGATGACGTGGCATGGGTGTTTTTGTAATTTAATATATGGGCCCAATTTTTTAAAGAGATGGAATCCAAGTGGGCAAAATAAATAATAAACAATTCTTTAATTTTAAAAAAAATTATTTTATATAATAATATTTAAAATAAATAAATGTAAATTTTAAAAAATTATAAATAAATATAAAATAAAATAAAAACCAAACCCATCAAATTGTCCCCTCCCCTCGCGTATCAACCCTACCCACACACAGCCCCCAGCCGCCACCCACATCCTCGAAATCAAAGTAAATGATGATTGAGGCGTAATGCAATCATATCGAACCCCATATCAAATTCCACGCATTCATAAAATGCAATCACAGATCAGTGCCTTCTTCAAACCCTCTTCCTCTTCTTCTTTTTCACCCAAACCAGAAAAGAAGAAAAAAACAAAAAAACAAAAAAACAAAAAAGGAAGCAGGCGCACCTCTCAGTCAAACCCACCATCGCCTCCTCGTCTCTCTACCACCATCTCTTGCATCTGATATGGCTGCTCAAGGACACCATGACTATATGCAGCGCTGGGTAAGGAACATGGGTCTAGCTAGCAAGATAATGTGCTGCCAAAGTTCAATTTACTGCTCTATATTTTATAGACATGCATAGCTTTTTGGTGGACATTAATACGTAGTGTTTTAATGCAACCTGGAAGAAAAGTTTGCAACTTTTTTTCTTTAATTTGGACCACCAGAGAGTATGAGAGAAAGAAAATTCAAGTGATTTTAAATTGAATCAAAAAACGACTTTAAGAAAACCCAGTACTTGATTAGTGGACTTAATCTTGTATTTATTAAGTGCTGATTAGCCTTTGATTTGTATCTTGTACAAAACCAAGCAAGGGAAATGATTTGAGAAAAATACTCTTAATCAAGGTTGGCAGTTTTTTTGTGGGGAGGAGAGAGAGAGAGAGAGAGAGAGAGAGATGGCGGGGGATGAGGAGGTTGCGCATCGGAAAGAAGAGGTGGGGCTGGGTGGGTGGGGATTCCGCTGGGGACTAGATGGGTTTAGGGTTGATACTCGAGGGGAGGGGAGAATGGTTGCTGAGTAATTTATTTATTTTTTGTTGGAATTGAAGAATTGTTTATTATTTATTTTGCCCACATGGAGTCTATATCTCATTAAAAAATTGGGCCCATATATTAAATTATAAAAAAAAACCCTGCAACGTCATAGAATTGACGGCTTGAGGTAAAGTGAATTACCGAACTTTGGTCAAGCGGGGAAAGTAAGTCACTTTAAGTTTGGGGGAAGCATTTGACCATAGTTTCAGGGAGTATTGATGTAATTAAGACATGATTGTAATATTTGTAGCCAATTACATTTTATAAGGAATAATAGCGCTCTACTGCAATTCGAACTATTTATTTATTAGCTCCTAATTGAAAGATCAACCCTCTAAAAATTTAGTCAAATCGAAGATCTTTTAATTATCTAATTTTAATCAAATAAATATGGAAACAAAATATTTTTGATAAATATAATGAAAATAGTCACGATAATAATTTAATTGTACTGTTGAAGTTTATCTAATAAAGTTTATATTTGATAATAAAAAATTGGCTAAGCAATTTATGATTTAGGTAAATATTTTTGGGGATGATCCTTGACTGATCTGAAAAATGAAAGTTCAGATCATATGATTATATTGTGTAGTGGTCTAAAAGTAAAGTTGTACTATTCATTTATTAACTTGTTAGCGCTTGGGGATGTCATCAATTAATAAGATTAAATTGTGAATGCAATCGAAAAAAGAAGTAGATTGTGTAATTATAGACTTGAAACAGAATGTTCACCAATAATATATGATCCTTTCATGAAATAAAGACCAGGAATCCCTTTTTATAACCTTCTTCCTTTATTTTTGGTTTTGTATTTCAAAAACAACTTCACCAACATCAGAATTCATAATAATCTTGTGCATCTTATTATTTTATTGTATTAGAAGAACAGGGACAAGGCACTCTTATTCAGCTTAAATATTCTACGTACTCAAGACAAATGATTGTGTCACTCCTCTAGCCAAAGGTGAGTTGGTACTTGGGTTGTTTGTTGGGAGAGAAAAGACCAAAGTGTCTCTCAACTTCATCACCGCCCTTGGTATTTTCATCAAACATGGCAAAAAGGTAAGTTTCTATAGCTTTTCCAGGCCTCTTTGGAGTCCCAGTAGTACCTTTCACATGGTTGATCAAATTCTGGTAGAATGTTTGTGCATTTTGAGGGGTTGCAACATCATCACCTTCGGATGGCCAACCGCTCTCCGACACGACGATCTCCACGTCGGGAGCATTGGCTTTCTCAAGAGCCGAGTACTGAGCGTCCAAAAGAGCATCAAACAGGTTTTGGTACTTTACACCGTCGGGCGTTGTGATCCCTTGTGAGGTGAATAAGGCATAGGCAAGTTCTATTTGAGCAGGATTGTCATGGTAGCTGAAGTAAGGATACACATTGACAAGAAGAGGGGCCCCATTGCTGGCTAGGAAGTTGATAACTGGGGTTATGAATGACTTTGCAGCATCACTATATTTTCCAGCTGAAGGAGGGTAGGCACTAGTACTGTCCACAAGGGTTGTGTCAATTGCTGTTGAGACTTTGATCTGGCCTTGCAGATTGGCTGCTACAATTGCATTATGAATGTTTTGGATGGCTGGGAGGAGATACTGGGTCTGTGGATCGCCGGGGTGTACTTCGTTCCCGACTGCGATGTATTTGAACTTGACGTCAGGGAAGGCTTGTACATTCTTTTGGACCCAATCTGTTGCAGCAGCAGCATCAGTGAGGCCTTGAAGCTTGTCGTTGAGGATGGTCACGATGAGTTCTATGTTGGAACCTTTAAGGGCTTGATAGGTTGGATCATTGGGTTCATAAATTCTCATTCTTCCAATGCCATTGCTTTTGTACAAGTCAACGACTTCTGTTGGGGATGGTAAATTGTTGCCATTTTGTCCATAACAAACACCAACAGATTGTGCACCTGAAATACAAGCATCAAAATTTCAGCTTGTGAAAGCATGTTTGGCAACAAGAGAAACAACTTACTTAAAGAATGTTTTAAGGGATGAAAATTTTAATTTCATACATGAAATGACCAAAGAAATTACATACAACTCCAATTGCTTTTAATTCAGAATTTGGATAGAGAAGCAAGGGACATATAACTCAAGTGGTTAAGAATAGTCACCCTCGCATCCGAGGTTCTATATTCGAATCCCCCCTCCCCCAGTATGGCTTGTATTTTAAAATAAAAATAAATAAAAACTGGATAGAGAAACCAGAAGTTTTCTGCATGGTATATATATATATATATATATATATATATGCTTTAATATATCATAATTTCAACTATATAATGAAACAGAACTACTTAATATAATCTGCCTCAAACTCTTGTACTGTAAACATGATTGAAGAAATAACCTCACATTAATCTACCCACGTACGCTAGAAAACAGGTCTGATGAAAAAGCATCAAAACTATTATATTTGCTTGATGCCATATATATATAAATTCAGAAGCAGAAAATGATACCTGTTATTTGCAGGGCAGGCATCAACAATACAAGTAGCAGCAATATGGACGCCATA